TCTGCTTGGATGGCGCCAGCCTTGCCCCACGCATCCTGCATTAGGGTTTAGGGAATCTACTTGGAGGCCCTTTTGACTTAGTAAGTAGGGTTAGTAAGGTGGGATATGGGGATTATAATAGGGCTCCTGGGGGATACTAAGTAGACTTACTAAGTCAAAAGGGCCTCCAAGTATTGGGTAGTTGTCAAAATGAGGGTCCCTTTTGGGGTACCCTAAATAATAGGTGCCGTATTATGATAAGGACCCAAAAAGGGGCCATAATTTTGACCACCACCCTTATGGCTTTAGGGTTTAGAGGTTAGAGGTTTATGGCTTTAGGGTTTAGAGGTTAAAGGTTTCAGGGTTTAGGGTTTAGAGGTTCAAGGTTTCAGGGTTTAGAGGTTAGAGGTTTAAGGGTTTAGGGTTAAAGGTTTAGGGTTTAGGGTTTTAGGGTTTAGGGTTTTGGGGTTTAGGGTTTTGGGGTTTAGGGTTTTGGGGTTTAGGGTTTTGGGGCTATAGGGGTTTACGATTTTAGGGGTTTAGGGTTCATGGGTTTTGGGTTTAAAGGTTCAGGGTTTAGGGCTTTAGGCTGTGGCTTAGGGGCTTTGGGTTTAGGGTTCGTCAAAGGGGTACTATCAGGGTTCTACAAGGTTCCAAAGCTTAGATGGCACACCTATTTGGTCCGAATTTGGTCACTTGGTTTAGGGGCTTAGGGTTTATAGGGTCTTAGGGTTTAGGGTTCGGTCAGAATTTAGTCACGTGGCTTATCCTGGAAATATAGATTCTTTTGGGCCCGGCCAAAGAGACTTAACCCCAAACCCCTAAACCCTACAGACCCTAAACCCTAAACCCCCAACTAGACCCTAGACCCTAAAACCCCTAAACCCCTAACCCCTAAACCCTTAAACTCTAAACCCCTAAACCCCAAAATCCTAAAGCCCTAAACCCCTAAACTCTAAACCCTACACCCCTGAACCCCCAAAACACCTCTAAACCCTAAACCCCTAAACGATAGACTGTAAACCCTAAAGAGAGGCTTTGTGGAGCAGCAGCTGGAGTGCACCTGCGGGCGCTTCAAGAAGAGAAGGTGGTCTCTCCAGGGCGAAGATGCAGAGCCAGTTGCTCGGTTTGTATTCAGAGGTTTAGGGTTTTAGGGCTTAGAGATGTTTAGAGCTTAGGGTTTAGAGCTTAAGGTTTAGAGTATAGGGTTCGGGTGTTCAGGGTTTAGTGTCTGTCAGGTCTTTTTGAGTAGTACCTTGTTTGCTTTTTTTTGTGGGGCTCCATTATTTGAACCAGTTAGTAGCGAAACATGCATCCTTATCATTAGGGGGGCTATTGGGGAACAACGGATGTTTGCCGGGCAGTCATAGTGGTTAAAACTATTATGTATACCCTTGGGTAGTTTCTCGTTGCTCGTTGCATGTCGCAATCGGCAAGGTGGGAGAACACATGGGCCACATGGGAAAGACATTTTCGCAATTCTCTGCAATGTCGGGCATTCGCCACTGGAGTTCGATGCGAAGTGAATCTCGGAAGAAAGCCTGCCAGCGATGTGCCTGGGAGGAGCAAGTCAAGGAGATAGCTGGTCGGCGCATGTCGGTGGATCAGCTTCTTGACTTCTATGCCAAGCTTGGTCCCAAAAGGTCGCCGGGGGAGTTACGAATGACGCATTTCGACCCTGCACGGTCCACTACGACGGATGTCGTCCGCCACGTGGTGATCCCGGAGTCGCGCTGCGGTGACACGGGCAAAGCCCTGGCGGAAGTGGTGCAAAGCTCATCGCGGACGTACTGCCTTCCCACCTCATCCTCGACGGTGCGCATGGTGACGCATCACTGGGCAAACAGGTTTAGGGATCTCGTCGCAGCCGTTGTCGCGGACAGTTTAGGCCTCAAGCGCTGGGACAGCATCGCAGATGAGTTGTCCTCTGGTAGAGAGGAGGCCTTGAGGTCAAGGCTTCAGGGCCAAGGGTCACTGCACTGGGAGTACTGGATCTGCGCATTCTGCATCAATCAGCATCCAGGCTCCCTTCGTAGTACCCTTTTGCCTTTTTCTTTTTGGGCTCCCCTGTTGCAACCAAAGAGTAGGAGAAAGAGTACCCTTGCTATTAGTGGGCTACCTGGGAAACTAATGAGGCATGCCAGCATCTGTGATGTTGCTATGGGCGCCCTCGACACCGTTACGGGCGAGCTTTTGCCGACGTGTGACTGCTCTACACCCAAGTACTTAAACGATTCTCCAGTTCAGTGCGAGCTGAACAAGTTCGACAGCATGATGGCTTACCTTCATCATCGTTATCACCAGCGCTTCCTGCAAGTGGTTGCGACTGACAAAAGCTTTAACCTCTGCTGTCTGGAAGTGAAGATGTTCGGA